GGACGCGGTGCGACGACCACCGCCCTTTAACTGTCAGTGTATAAGCGATTACTACGACTACTTCATTTATGTCCATGTGCGTTTGTTTGATTGTTTCTTTGTCCTGCGTGATTACGTTGCGGTTTACAATTTAGTTTGGGTTCTGTACTTACAGACGAGGGCACTAACTATAATGTTCTCAGTGTAAGAACCAAAATAACCGAGTCCACAACGTAACACACGAGGTAGTTTCAGGATCCATTTATCGATTCTAGACTCAAGATAGATACAATAGCCAAGACAATTGAGTTGAAATTACATACGAAGTTCTTTACATGTTGTGTAAGAAGCCATTCAACGCTTTCAACGAGCATGTTTAACAGTCTCATTGTTTTCTTTTGACAGGTTGACCAACTAGCGTGATACAAGACATTGAAGGAATTCGAATTGACATTGTGAAAACAGGATTTATTTGTCGCATTAGTTAGTTTTAGATGTTATAATAACGATATGGAGATGCAGTACCAGAATCCAAGCCGTAATCGCCGACCCAAAGATGAAGACCCAGCAATCGGTGAGCTTTTTGAGGCATGTGATCTTGACGGTAGTGGGTACATCGAGGAGTCCGAGTTGGCTCATATTTGTAACGAGTTGAGCGAAGACGAACTGCACGATGTCTTCCGAGAACTCGACCGGGACGGCGATGGTAGAATAAGCATTCAGGATTTCTCCGAAGGATTTCAGAGCGTCAGTGACACTTTGCTCTCCCTGAGTCGGCGGAAACGACGCCTACGCAGCAGTAACTCACTGGAAATGGACGCATTCATCAGTAGAATGGGGCCGGGGTATGATCAGCTAAACTGGTGAGTGGCGATACATTGTGTCTTTGTTAGCCCCTCCGTTGGGATTTGAAATAACGAATAACGCAAATAACTAATGCGATTACAGTGTAACATGTGTTTTTTACTCAAATCACGCCGCTTACTAGGTTGTGAGTAATGTTACTCTTTTGAAAACTGAAAGATCAAAGAACGAAACTACAATGTATTTGAGCCACCGTTGCATCAATATATAAAGGATAATCTTTAGAAATTTTGCTGGGCCCTACCCGTGGGAGGTATTTGCTCTAATGTTGTTTTTCTTACTGGAATTGTTGAATTTTTTTTTTATAAATATTTTTCTCCTGCAGAATTTATTTAAATTCTACCTCCACATTGTTTCTAATAATATTATTATAAATTTAGTTTTTATTTGTTGAAAAACTTCCTGTCCCGGCCGATGAATACCGGGGGGTTAAACACTATTAACCCGAAAATAACGTGATACTTATAGTTACCAGTAACATTAATGAACTATCCAAAAAGCGATTCCCTTAGTATCAAGTCAAACACTACACCGGATGTTATTGTTGGCGAGAAGCCCAACAAAAAATATATAAAATACATATAAATTATTAGGATAATATAAGCTTTTATGGACAAAATTATTATTATTATTAATTGTGATATTACAAAACGAGAACTCTGACTCTGACGTCATTGTGTTATTATAATTTACGTATATGAGACATTGTTATTGATTATCACTGACTGTCGCATTATTTATTTATTTATTTATTTATTTATTTATTTATTTATTTATTTATTTATTTATTTATTTATTTATTTATTTATTTATTTATTTATTTATTTATTTATTTATTTATTTATTTATTTATTTATTTATGTTGTGGATAATAGCAGAGGCAGAATAGTTCTGGTAGGATTGGTACCAACTCACAGTCACGTATTATAAATGAAATAAATAAAATAACCAGACTCCAGGTCAATGAATCTTACGCGATAACGTCATCGGTCAACCATATGCTACCATTTAGAAATCATATTACATATTTTAATTTCAAAAGATTAATACAGTATGTAATATTAACGCATGGATTACGCTCATGTGGCTTTATAACTAACGAACAAATG